GGAGAGTTGGTTAAAGCAGTGTCTGTCAGGTTTCTCTACTATAAAGTTACTATTTGTAATTAATAAGTATCATGAGGGGGAATTGGAGACTATAAAATTATTCTATTTCTCATAATTTTGCTCATTAATTTATTAATTTTAGAACCCATTGATGATTTTTGTTTAAAATAATTATTACTGTCATGGTTGTCTAATGCTGATTTTTTAATTACATCATCCCTTCAACTTGTATTAGTTGCAATTATGCTATAAAGAAGAAACTTTCCTTCTTATTTATTCATTTATAGCAAAATTATTTTATGTGTTATACTTTATTTTTTCTCTGTGTTATATTGTCATTTATTTTTTCTTTGTCAGTGGGAACTTGTTCTTGGTGTCTTTTGAATCCATTGATATGTCACTTTCATTTTTGTGTAATTAGTTTTTGAAACAATTTCTGATACCACAAGGTTTTCCAGGCTCATTCCACATATCACCAGTCCTAGATGTGAAATTGGTGCCCTATTTTTTACACCATTAGTACTTGCAGGGGACTCTCCTCCCTTCCTCACCAAAAAAACCCTTTCCTTTGAATCTCATATCATGAAAATATACTACCCATTATCTTTTTCTGCTGTCACCTTAGATATCCAGGCCACTACAAGCTTAATGGTTGCAATCTAGATTCATGAGTACATACATCAACTGGGCCCTTAGTGCTATCCACTAATATTACTAAATTTCTCTAGCCCTTTCTTTCTCTTCTCTTCAAACATCTAACACCTGCTCATGCATATCATTTTCATGATGACCTTGTTTTATACTTCACTGAGAAAATAGAAAACATTTGAAGAAAATTTCCAAAGGCTGCTATCATGGCACCCCCCATTTGCAATTGTGTTCTTATATGCTTCTTATTACCTATGGGTGATCTGTCTTACATGCTTCTATCTAAGACCAATCTTTCTACTACAAAGAACTAAAACTTACTGAAGACTTACTATGTGGTTGACACTACTCTAAGCACTTTATGTTTATTCATTCTCATAAAATTCTATGTATCCTGACTTTACAAAAGGAACATTACTTTCTAGAGAGACAACTAAGGTGCATAGACAAGAAAATTTCCTAGAGCCCTGGCTGGCATAGCTCAGTGGATTGAGCACGGGCTGCGAACCAAAGTGTCGCAGGTTCGGTTCCCAGTCAGGGCACATGCCTGGGTTGCAGGCCATGACCCCCAGCAACTGCACATTGATGTTTCTCTCTCTCTCTCTTTCTCCTTCCTTTCCCTCTCTAAAAATAAATAAATAAAATATTAAAAAAAAAAGAAAATTTCCTAGAGTCATACAGCTATTAAGCACTGGGACTCCAATTTGAGTCCAGGTAGTCTGTCTCCAGAATCTACGCTCTTAACCACCAGCTATACTGCTTCTCAGGAAGGAGCCAATTACCTTTCACCCCCTCAAAGACTTTAGAAAGTCTCCTCTTTCTCTCCTGCATCACATCCATCAGCAAACACCATGTTATAAATTTCCCCCGTATTTTAAAATAAAATCTCTCTTGAGCCCACATTGCCTGTCAGCAAACATTCTACTTCTCAGCCATGACTTTTCTGTAAAACATTTCAAAAAATTTGTCTATATTCACTAGTACTGTCTATCTCCACTTTCTGCCCTTTCAGTTTCTGTTTTAGTCTCTCAGTAATAGCTTTTTCCCACAATTACGTTTCTGAAAGAACTTTGCTCAAGGCCACCAATGACCTCCATATTGCAAATCCTAATGCTGAAACAATCTTCAGCTTCCTTTCTTTATTTGGGTTCCTTGACATGGTCTTCTCTTGATTACTCCCAAATATTATCTCAAGATTTGTTTTTTTGATTACTTATACATCTTCACTGTGATGTCTAAAAGGCATTTCAAACTTACCATGTCCAAAAACAAAGTTCTGATCTTTCTGTTAGAAAAGTCTCCCCAGCTCAGTAAATGGCAACCTCTTTATGTTTTTTAGGCTCAAAGTCTTGGTGTCATCCTTAACTCTTCTTTCTTTTTAACTGCACACCTAATTATTTAACAAATCCCAACTTCAAAATATAACTATCACACTGCACTTCCCATCACTCACTTCTGGGTCTTTATCTGCTACCCTAGAAACTATCAGGGTACATGGCTTGGAGACTTTGAGGTTATCAGCAATCCTGGTCTTCTTCATTGTTCACAGGAAATCTCACTTACTGGTTCTGCTTTTACATCCCTCCCTAAAGCTCAGTCCATGATGAAAGAATACAAATTCAGAGGAGAAAAGCAAGGGACAGAATTGTCTTAAGCAGTTCTATTTTCAACCTGTCATGATATTCTTCTGTGGTGAGGAAGACCAAAATTTGGTAACTGTTTAAAATTAGGAGAGGAAAAACTAAACAAAAACATTTAACATTTTAGTAAATTACCCTACCAGAGAGAAAGAACAGTTCTTTTAAAGTATGTATGGGAGATTTGAGATGGAAGTTGTGGCAAAAGGAAAAGAGGACAATGCCACCACCACATCTCAACACTGAGGCACATGGAGTATGAAAATGAACCAGCCACCACTGAAGCAGGCTACAAAGGAAGGATTGACTTCAGGGAAGAACCTATTTTTAACTCAGGTAAAGCAGGTGGAGGAAACACTCAAAGTGGGTGGGAGTAAAATGAGGTATTTCCACTTTAGTCATTAATCAAAAATATAGAGCTAGGGTATAATAAGACAAAAACTATTAATGTCTAAGTGCCCCAAGAATTTTGATAGTGAGAGTTAGTGGGTTAAAGAATATAAAACACAAATTTCTCTGGTATGCAAGTATAATTTTTTACAACAAAGAAGCATCAGTCTCAAGAGTAAAGGCAATATGATCTTTGCAACCCGAAGTTCAATCAATCTTATAGGAGAACTTCCTTGGGAAAAATAAAATTATTCAGCTCCATGATAACAGGATACAAGTTAATTATAAATCCTACAAGAAAACCCCATTATCCTCAACATGCCACACTGCTTTTATTATTATTTTAAGAAAGCTGATTGTTAATTTTTTTACCTTTTGCCCTTATCTAATAATAAAACATAAATGATAATTCAATGTACTGCATTGTCAAAGTTCACTATTTCTCACTATCTAAAATTCTAGCTATTATAAACTTATATCCATTGATTCCAACTTTTATTTTAATCAAGGCTCAACAAAATATTTAGCATTTATATTTTTTACTTCTACACTAAACAAATGACATACTGTAGTCCTCTCTCCAAACCTTTTCTACTTCAGTCATGCAACACTCTTTGCAGTCCCCAAGCACACCATGTGAATGTCATGTATTTGTCCTTTGTTGGTTCATATTCTGTCCTGAATACTTCCCTGCCCACCATTCATTCACTTAGCACAGACAGCTCAAGCATCCTCTGTCTTCTGTACAGGTGACTACTATAACACTTAAAACTCTACATTCTTTCTCTCAATAAGTATATAATTTTGGTCTTTCTGTGGTAGACTATAAGGAACTTGAGGGCAAACATTGTATTGTCATCTTTGTAACCTCAGCACCTAGCACATAGTAACGAGCATGTAGTAAGATCTCAGGTATTTTTCTGAGTAACTGAATCAGTGTTATCCTTGCCATTTATCACTCCAGGAAACACTAGACTGACACACAGCAGGCAGAGCAGAATCTTCAGGAGAGATACAAGGATTTCCTATTAGAAACTACTAGGAAATTAGTTTTAATCTTATTAGTTGTGATGACTATGGTTCAGTAGGAAAAAAAATCCTTATTATTAGAAACACATATTAAAGTGCTTAGTGAAATGCAATGAAATGCATACAGAATTTATTTTAAAATACTACAACAAAGTAGATGATGTAATATGACAAATGACTATTGTTAAATTAATTATGTGTATACCCTAGTCTATTCCAACACTTAAAATGTAACTGGCAAGATGACAAAAATATATTAAGAATCTAGAAATTAATGTGATTACTTTTAGGTAAGTCAGTAAGAAGTAATATAATACTTCTATACTAATATGAGAAGATATGACATGCTTAAGAAAGTATAATATAGTATAATTTAAAAGTAACCCAAAATGTTTTACACTGGGATAACCAAGAGATATCATTCTAAACTACTTATGGGAGATAGATAGGTATTCTCTTATTTGGAAATAAATTGTGCATATTTAAGAAAGTAAATTTCAAATACTACATGAGCCAAAACTGTGATCAATTATTTATTACATTTAAAGAAAATAGATTTTTCTTTACATATCTTCTTGAACATTTCTTGTTATACATGTAAAGCCAATGTGTTCCCTGGTATAAATTAATATAAATAATCTTAATATTACAAAAAATAAGGTTTACAATTCAGGATCACTTCAGAAATATAGAATCTTATGCTATTCTTGTAATAACTCTGGATATTTTTAAAGAAGTAATAAAAAGACACCTTCCATTCTTTCACCTTTTCATAGGATTCTTTTACAAAAAGACAGATTGTCCTAAGAAGAAAATAAAAATTGTCAATGATCCTTCTTACAAGTAAGGGGCCAAATTCTTGTGAATTACCTGTACTTATGTTACAAAGAAAGAATTATTCCTTCATTCTATACTTCTCCTTTGCCAACAACTAACCCAAGAAACTTAACACTTTGAGTCATTAACATGTTCATTTAAAACATTTTTACAACCCATTTATATGTATTTTAATAGAATAAAGAAAGATAAAATACCTTAGAGTCAAGAAGGATTATTTTATAATTTGGTTAATCTGTCTTTGACAATTTTTCCCAGAAGAGACTGGGCAATATCTTCTTTTGTTTATTTTTCAATATCCAATTAATGTTTTTAGTTGTTTTATTTTTTTAAGATTTTATTTATTTATTTTTTAGAGAGGGAAGGGAGGGAGAGAGAGAAACATCAATGTGCGGTTGCTGGGGGTTATGGCCTGCAACCCAGGTATATACCCTGACTGGGAATCGAACCTGTGACACTTTGGTTTGCAACCCATACTCAATCCACTGAGCTATGCCAGCCAGGGCTTAGTTGTTTTATTTTTGTAAGTAAAAATAATATTACATAACCAGTGTAATATATCACTTATTTCCTTTTCTTTATGCTCATCTTCTGAGCATAAATAAAGCTTGACACTTTCCTACACTTTTAGGAAATTAGTCGCTCTCAGTCTTGTGAGTTGTTTTATTTTTAAGAGGTTTAGAAGTATTGAGAATGTGATTCCAGGACAGATTCATTTCTTCTTGCATCATTGACATTTCTATGCACCTTAAAGACAATGATAACATGCAAAATGAAGAGCACTACTGCATATATTGTGTCCATGGCTCCAGAAACTTATAGGAAACTACAAGTAGTCTGTGTACTTCTGTGCACTTTCTTCTTCTCTCTTCTTTGGCTAGATCAAATAGCCAGTGGCTGCTAGTGTCATTAGCAAAACTGTCAGTGTTACAAATGTATGTCCTGAAAGTTAAAGAAAATGTTAAAATCAAAATAATTTTATTTACTAGTGATAAACATGAAATTTTTAGTTAGTATGTGAAAAACCATGAAGGAGAATTAATTGGTTAATTTAGGATGTCAGACAAACGCAAAATTAGTAAGTTACAGAGTATGGACAACCTCAGTCAGTGTAGAGTTAGAGTTTAGTATGGCCAACTAAAATATGGTGAGCATATTGCTGAAGAGTCAAGAACTGATGACATGTCATGTTAATGAGAGATTCAATATGTTAGTCATTCATTCAAAAAACAAAAACAGTTCTGACAGTATAGTGGTTGAAGCCCCTGTTATCCTTGAATAGTTCCAGATGAATCCTGAGCCAACAGTATTGATAGACATTTGGAAATATACAGAAATGTGATTTTATAGAACTATATACCTTTCATCATTTACCACAAGGTCATACTTCTGAGGCATTACCAGTCTCATTTAAATTATGCAATGTGACATTTTGTGCTTTGTTGTTTTCCTGAGGGTAGTAAGTGCTGAAGAGTAGAGAAAGAAAGCACTAATTGAATTATATAATTTTAATTTGAATCAAAAAGCAATACCAGCAGGTGCTTACAATCACATCCTTTTTATAAACTAAAATGTTTCATACAAACCCAACACTTCTAAAGAAGTAGATAAATCCTTCAATAGGCAAACACAAAGCATCACCAAGTGAAGGTGCATAATCACTTTCAGATTCATTAACCCTTTCCCTTATCCTCATTAAGATCAAAACTTAGTTAAATCGATATGAAATCAGGAAAATAACAGGAATGTATAAAAAGTTAGCTCTTATTCTCATCAGCTTTTATTCGTTAAATAAAGCAAGTGGAGTGTTTTTAAAGAGCACACACAAAAAAGGCAAATTATTTCTGAGGTTTTTGCCTGAATTTCCTCTTATTCAGAAATAGAGGAATTAGGTCTACTATAAAACCCCCATAAAATTAATATTCCCTCCTATGTTTCAGCACTTTTCATATGATAAAAATATCACAATCAATTATTTCACCTAAGTATATAAAGAAACTGATGATAGCCAAGAGCTAGCACCCTGTAAACTCATTGCTTTCCACCCCTCTGACCTTCGGAGTCCCAAAGCACAGAAGGTAAATTGATAATGCACTAATCCAGAAGGAAAGCTGGGACAGATGCAAGGAAGAACATGAGGTGGGTAGTTTACTTTTTTCTAGAGTAGTTTTGCTGGGATATCTGTACCAACTCATTTTACATGACTTAGACTTCTGTTCATTTTTGCAGGGTTCTAAATTTTATTTTTAAAATTTTTTTGAAAAACCTGAAGAGAAAGTTATATTCTATTACATTTGCTACTATAACATCTAGATTACTTGATTAACAGTAAAAACTATTTTAAAAACTCCAGGACCAAATAAAGTCAAATATTTTTACTAAAATACTGAACCATTTAGTGATTTTAAAGAACATTCACATACTTTAGCTTATAATAGGCTTAAATAATATTGTTAATTTAAGGAGAAAGGAAAGAGTTATATAGAGCAGAAAGTACATAGCTCACAGCACCCAAAGAATTAAAATAGTCAATTTAGTAACAGCATTAAAATAATTTTTCATTTCTTTTTTGCTCAATTGTGCATTTAGTAATGCCATAATTATTTTAAAATTATAATTTAAACAAAGATTTAAATACAAACAAACTAACATTTTCTGCACTTTACTATTATGAGAAAAAGGCAATTTAAAACTTATAGGTACTCAAAACTTAGATAAATACATACACTATACATAATTTTTATTTATCTTTTTACCAGTAAGAAGAGCTTCATTTTGTTTTGTTTCCTTCTCTTTGTTATTGAATTTATTGGGGTGAAAATGTAGGCATTAGGGAAGTATAGCAATAACTCAAGAGTTTATATAAACTCCACAATTAGTTTTCTCAACAATAAAATCTACAAGAAAACAGAAGAGGGTCAGTTTAAATAATCCTCTGTTTCTCTACAGAATATAAGCCAACCATGACAATATACTTAATATGTAAACTTTAATGAAGATCACATGTTTTGAACAATACTGATATTCTTTTTTGTGTGTTACTCTTTTATCATCTGAGGACTTAACCACATGACAAACACTGTTTTAACCTCTTTACAGGTCAAAACTCATTTGATCCTTAGCACCATCCCAGAAGGCAGATTGTCTATGTCCACCGTTTTATGAATGAGAAACCTGAGGCCCACAAAGGTTAAGTTGCTCACAGTGACATGGCACACAAACAGCTGACACAGTTGGAACAAAAAACAGTCAGCTTACAAAGCCTGCCCTCTGAGCCACTGGGCTGTTTCTGGCTAGACTGGCAGATATCAAGAAACACAACTCAGAAAAAGGCCAAATTATTGGCAATTTAAGAGTAGGTTAGAGGCTGGCTTTTCCTAGATTTCTTTGTTTTTGTACAGCACACCTATGCTACCATAAATTATTCTAAGGAAAAGGTAAAGTGATTAATAGATTGCAAAGTGAGCCTTTGGTTTTCATATCATTTTCTGTTGAAATGCTGTTAATGTCCTTGAGTATATCAAGAAATTAAAAAAAAGATAGAGTCTATTCATCAAGCATAATAATTATAGACAAAAGAAATGAAGAGATATCATGTCAAAATATACAATTAAGCTAAGAAAATTATCTATTTGTGATAAAGCATCAAGTTTTATTGGAAAGAAGCTAAGAATAAATGTTTTAGGTCATCAGAATTTTTGCTCACCCTGATTTTCCACGGTCCCAGAAAATTATGCCTAGAATTACGATGCCAATTATTAAAGCACCAGCAACAAATCCTTGAGGGAGAATAATTTGGTAACATAGTTAATACAAATATGAGCAATTACCTATACAGTGTAATTTTGCAATGATAAACATACTGTTTATGAAGCAAACTAAAGAAAACATAGAAGCTTCAGCAGCACATATACTAAAATTAGAATGATACAGAGAAGATTAGCATGGCCCCTGTGCAAGGCTGACATGCAAATTTGTGAAGCGTTCCGTATTTTTAAAAATATAGAGAGAAGACAGAAGTTATATTTTGCATATGGCTTCCTTGTGTTAAAAGTTTGAGAGTAAAAATTCAACATTATTTATCCTTTATTCTGTTTTCTTTCAAAAAAATGAAATACAGTACTAAAAATAAAGTATTATAATGATCAAATAAAATTTGATTGACAGGTTTAAGAAGGTTATAAAGTGTTTTAACCCTACTATGCTTAATTCTAAATGCTTCAGTCCTTCATGTATGTATTTTATCCCCTCTCAATCCTCCAATGTCCTTGAAGTCTACTCTTCTGATCTGTACTACAAAGGAAATTAGAGATGATACCAGAAAAGCAAATGGAACCTAATGTGCATAGTAAGTGTATTTGGTTCCAAATAAGTGATAGATAGCTATCACACAATTACATTACTATATAGGCACATGACTCAAAAAACAGCTATTTACATCACAATTAAGTTTGTATAGTACTTCATCCAATCAATTTCTTTAACCTGTACTCTAGGATCATATTATTGGCTTGGAACAACAATATTCATACAATAAATCATGGTTCTTCAATTTTTTTTAGTTTTTTTTAATTCATCATGTCCCATTCATCCCATTTTCAACTTGAATGGTAAATGAAGACAGTTGTGCAACTAGGGATTGAAAGAAGAAGAGACATCAAGACTGGCAGAAGGGGAAGAGACTCAGAATCCCACACCTACGTGTGATGGCTAAAAATTGGGAGGGATATCTGGGCTGCTGAGGGCCCTCACTGAGGAGCCAGGGACCCTCACTGAGGAGCCAGGACCCTCATTAGGTCCTCTAGCCCAGGGTTCCAGTGCTAGGAAAAGAAGTCCTCATTACACTTCTGGTTGTAAAAACCAAATACAAAAACAAACATACAAAGACAAGCTATCTATCATATGTAGAGTTCAAAACACTGGTTATAAAGATCCCCAATGAACTTAGGAGAAGAGTAGATACACTTAGTAAGAACTTCAACAAAGGGAAAGGAAACTAGGAAACATAAAAACAAAGAAAGAAAACAGAAAAAAAAAACACCCAGAAACATTGAGGAATACATTACAGGGAATAAACTGTAGAGTAGGTGAAGCAGAGCATCAAATAAGATTTAGAACATAAGGAAGCAGAAAATACCCAGTAAGAATAACAAGAAGAAAAAAGAATCCAAAACATAAGGATAGCATAAGGAGCCTCTGAGACAACTTCAAGCATACCAAAATTCATATCTGGAAGGAGAAAAGAGAGCAATAATTGAAAACCTATTTGAAAAAATAACAACAGAAAACCTCCCTAACCTGGTGAAGGAAATAGACATATAAATCCAGGAAAAACAAAGTCTCAAACAAGATAAACCCAAAGAAGGCCACACCAAGATGCATTATAATTAAAATGCCAAGGGGTAAAGATAAAGAGAACAGCTTAAAAGCAGCAAGAGAGAAGCTGAGTAAACCATTGGTATTTTAATTATAATGCATCTGGGTGTGGCTCTCCACACAATGGAATACTATGCAGCAGAAAGAAAGAACAAAAGAAGGAATTCCTACCCTTTGTGAGAGCATGGACAGAACTGGAGACTCTTATGCTAAATGAAATAAGCCAGTCAGTGAAAGACAAATACCATATGATCTCATATAGAAGTGGAGCCTAGACAACAAAACAAGCAAGCAAAATACAACCAGAGACATTGAAATAAAGAACAAACTGACAGTAACTAGAGGGGAGAGGGATAATGAGGAAGAACCATCAAGGAACATGTATAAAGGACACATGAACAAAGTCAAAGGGGGTAGGTTCAAGGGTGGGAGGCAGGGATGGGTGGGGCAGGAGGCCGCTGTGGGGTGAAAATGGGGACAGTTGTACATGAACAACAATAAAAAATGTGAAAAGAATATAAAATAAAATGACAAGGTTAACACAAAGAGAAAATCTTAAAAACAGCAAGAGAAAAACAGTTATCTATAAGGGAGATCCTATAAGACTGTGAGCTGATTTGTCAACAGAAACTTTGCAGGCCAGAGGGGATTCACAAGTAATATTCAAAATGATGAAAACCAAGACCTACAACTGAGATTACTCTACCTAGGAAAATAATCATTTAGAACTAAAGAACAGATAAAGAGCTTTCCAGACAAGAAAAGCTAAAGAAGTTCATCACCATTACACCAGTATTAAAAGAAATGTTAAAGGGTCCTCTTTAAGAAGAAAAAAAGATTAAAAATGTTATAATAAAATGGCAATAAATGTGTGTCTATCAATAATTCCTCTAAATTCAAATGGATTAAATGCTCCAATCAAAAGACAGATGGTGGCTGAATGGATAACAAAATAAGCCCATTACATATGCTGTCTACAAGAGACATGCCCAGATTGAAAGACACACACAGACTAAATGTAAAGGGATGGAAAAAGATATTTCATCAAAATGGAAACAAACAAACAAAATAAAAAGCTCAAGTAACAAGAGTTATACCAGAGAAAACAGGCTTTAAAACAAAGGCTATATAACAAGTGTAGGGGACCAATTTGTTTTAGTCTGGCAAATGTGACTCAGCTCTGTACGGAAAACCTACAGAAGTGAAGTGGTGGGCAGGAGCCAGACCTTCAAACTGAGTTTTCCTGTGGGAATCAGGCTTAGAAAATGCATACAGACTGTTATGGCTTGCTCTTGCTAAACCTCCATCACCCTGGTCTAAAACAACAAATGTGTGTTGTCTATCTCTAAGGTAATTTCCAAAGCCTGTGTGAATTCCCCCAGGGACAGAGCTAATCAACTCGCTGTCATTCCCCTCTGCACATTATTTTCATTTCCTTGACTGCACCTAAAATGTAGACAATAATATTCTATGTAATGGATAATAAATCTTTCTTTGACATAAGACCCGAGAAAAACAATAAAAGGCTGTCTAGGCAAGGGTCAAGGCACTCTCTTCTTGAGAGAGTGGCTGAGGCATTCATAGGCACCCGACTCTTGAGAAAGTAGCCATGCCATCCCTCTTTTCTCCACAGGATTGCTGTCTGCTTTGCATTTATTCTCATCTTCAGTTACAGTAGGCAGACCCTGCTGGCCAGAGTTCGCCACAAACAAGAGACAAAGAAGGACCCAGTAATTCCACTTCTGGATATTTATCCAAAACACTAAATCAAAAAGACTTATATATCCACATTTATATTACAGCATTATTTAATAGCCATGATATGAATGTAACCTAAGTGTCCATAAATTGATGAATGAATAAAGAAAAAGTTGTACATATATACAATGAAAAGAATGAAATCTTGCCATCTACAACAATATGCATGGACCTAGAGAGTATTGTGCTGAGTGAAATAAGTAAGACAAAGGAAGATAAATTCCATATGATTTATTTATATGTAGAATTAAAAAATAGATTAGCAAGCAGAACAGAAACAGACTCATAGATACAGAGAACATTTTGACAGTTGCCAAATGGAAGGGCGATTGGCAGAATGGATCAAAAAGGAGAAGAGATTAATAAGTACAAATTGGTAATTACAGACTAGCCATGGGAACATAAAGTACAACATAGAAAATATACTTGATAAATTGTAATAATTATGTATGATGTTGGGTGAGTACAAGATTTATCTAGGTGATCATTTACTTAGTTATATAAAGTCTAATCACTGGGTTGTATAGTGAAATTAACATAATATTGTATGTCAATTGTAATTGAAAAATAAAAAATATTTACTAAAATAAAAAATTACCATTTTAAAAAATGAAATCAAGATAATTTTCAGGTTTATGTTTTACAACTATAAGATCACAAAGAAAAATATTGCCATATGTCTGATTTGAGAGGGAAGGAGTTCTTTATTTTGGGCACAAGCTAAAATTAAGGCAAGTTAACTGGGAAATCGCATAGTATATACTTCGAGAACTTCAGAGAAAATAGGAGTTCCAGCCAAGGTGGAGGCATAGGTAGAAACCCTTAGCTTCCTTGAACAACCAAAAGAATGATAATGACCAATCTAAAAACAATAAACAACCAGAAGTGCCAGAAAATCAAACTGCATGGAATTCCAGCAACTAAAGAGTTAAAGAAACATTCACCCAGACCAGTAGGAAGGACAGAGATGGAGACCAGCAGAAAGCAAAGAGGACAACCAGCAAGGCAGTGGACCATGTGGGCAAGGCAAGGCTGGCTGGATAGGAAACTAAATACTCAAAGCTACTTGTAAACTACTGTGGGGGTTGCCACAGTGGGAGAAATTCCAAGCCTCACGCAAGAGTTCCTTGGAAAGTGGGGCTAGAGCAGAGCAAGCCGCATTATTCCCCCTCTGACCCCTCCCCTACAGATAGCACCAAAACTCAGCAAAGAGAGTTGCCCTGCCCCGATGAATACCTAAGGCCCCACTCCCTTGCAACATAACAGGTGAGCCAAGACAAAGAAATATGGCCTAAATTAAAGAGCAGATCAAAACTCCAGAAAAATAGCTAAGCAATGAGGAGACAGACAACCTATCCAACTCAGAGTTCAAAACACTGGTAATCAGGATGCTCACAGAACTGATTGAGCTCAGTCATAAAATGAAGGAAGAAATGAAGACTACTCAAAGTGAAATAAAGCAAAATATACAGGGAACCAACAGTGAAGGGAAGGAAACCAGGACTCAGATCAATGATTTGGAACAAAATGAAGAAATAAACATCCAACTGGAACAGAATGAAGAAACAGGTATTCAAAGAAATGAGGAAAGGCTTAGGAATCTCTGGGACAATTTTAAGCATTCTAACATCAGAAACATAGGGGTGCCAGAAGGAGAAAAATAACAGTAAGACATTGAAAACTTATTTGAACAAATAATAAAGGAGAACTTCCCTAATCTGGCAAAGGAAATAGGCTTCCAGAAGTCCAGGAAACTCCGAGAGTCCCAAAGAACTTGGACCCAAAGACACACACACTGAGGCACATGATAATTACATTACCTAGATTAAAGATAAGGAGAGAATCTGAAAAACAGCAAAAGGAAAGGAGAGAGTTACCTACAAAGGAGTGCCCATAAGACTATCAGTTGATTTCTCAAAAAAAACCTTACAGTCAAGAAGGGGCTGGAAAGAAGTATGCAATGTCATGAAAGGCAAAAATCTACATCCAAGATTACTCTATCCAGCAAAGCTATCATTTAGAATGGAAGAGCAGATAAAATGCTTCTCAGATAAAGTCAAGTTAAAGGAGTTCATCATCATCAAGCCCTTATTATATAAAATGTTAAAGGGACTTATCTAAGGAAAATAAAATTGTCAAAAATATGAACAATAAAATGATAACAAAATCACAACTACCAACAACTGAACCTAAAAAACAAAGACTAAAACTAAGCAAACAACTAAAACAGGAACAGAACCAGAGAAGTAAAGATCACATGGAGGGTTTTCAGCAGGGAGGTGGAGGGAAAGACTAGGGGGGGAAGGTACAGAGAATAAGAAGCAGAAATGGTAGGCATAACATAGGGAGAGGTTAAGAATGGTGTGGGTAACAGAGAAGTCAAAGAACTCATATGTACAACCCATGGACATGAACTAAGGAGGGGGAATGCTGGAGGGTTGGGGGGTACGGGGCAGAGGGGTAATAAAGGGGAGACAGAAGTTGGGAGAACTGTAATAGCATAATCAATAAAATATATGTAAAAAAAGAATTTCAGAGAAAGTAATAAGTACTTCAGGTCTTTATTGAACACCACTGAGCATATAAGAAAAATTTCATCTATAAACTTATCACTGTTTTCAACATTAAATCATGAGATTTTCATTTATAATACAATTATTTCTATTTAAAATATAGAATAAATCAAATTACTCCTCTTTGAATCTTTCCAAACAAATATTTTAGCTTAGGGAAGGTTTATTCAAAATATAAAAGTTATAAAAATATTTTTTTAAATAATAAAAAATACCTGTTTTCAGCTTTATGGTGCTTTGGTTAATTTATACATGTAAAACACAGGACACTCGAGATTATAAGAACATAATTTTAAAATATACATTTTTATGAGTGTATATTCAATTGGATGCTACTTACCAATATGCAAATTTAACCATATTGCTTCTTAACAAACATTTCTCTTAACATCTTTATAGAAGTTAATGTATAACATCAAATAATATATTTATGGACAAAAAATGGACTGAACCAAATGCAAAAAGAAATTGCTACACAGATATATGATTTTGACCTCATGCCTAAAGCAACAGAATATTTTTTTTTACTTTTTAATCATCTTTAAAATTTTTAATGATAAATCTTGATCTAATATTCTTTTTTTATTGTTGCTCAGTTACAGTTGTCCCTTATTTTCCCCATTGCTCACCCCTATCCTGTCCACCCCTACTCCCAGGGTCAATCCCCCCATTGTCTGTGCCCATGAATCTTCTATTCATGTTCTTTTTCTTGCCCCTTCCCCTTTTTCCCCCACTACCCCCTCTGTCTTCCCCTCTGGTCACTGTTAGTTTGTTCTTTATTTCTAAGTCTCTGGTTCTATTTTGCTCATTTGTTTGTTTTGTTGATTACATTCCATTTACAGGTGAGATCATATGGTATTTGTCTTTTACCACCTGCCTTATTTCACTTAGCATAATGCTCTCTAGGTCCATCCATGCTTTCATGAAAGGTATGAGTTCTTTTTCTCTTTCTGCTGCACAGTATTCCATTGTATAAATGTTTTTTTTTTAAATAACCTTGCTTTCAATTATTCACAAGGAATGGAAAAGAAAGAAAATGAATTAAAAGTAGTACTCTTTATTTCATTTGGGCATAAGATGGAAGTCTAGAAATGGTCAAGGAGCAGTTTTTATTTAATTATAAAATATTTGAGGACAGAAACTATATTAGTAATGATCTTTTTCTTGTGTTTCTTCAGCCTCTAGAGTAATTCATTGACAACATAGGCAGGCAATAATACTTGATTGATTGGCCCAATGATTTGAAATTGTCCTAAAACTGCCTTGGATCAAGAACATGGTTGGACTATTCTTACAGGTGTGAGGTGATATCTCATTGTGGTTTTAATTTATGTCTCTCTGACACTTACTGATGAACATCTTTTCATATGTCTATGGGTCATCTGTATGTCCTCCTTGGGGAAGCATCTATTCAGATCCTTTGCCCATTTTTTTCACTGGATTGTTTGTATTCCTGCTGTTGAGCAGTATGAGTTCTTTATGTATTTTGGAGATTAAACCCTTGTCTGATGTATCATTGGCAAATATGTTCTCTCATATAGTCAGTTCCTTTTTTATTTTGATGATGATTTCTTTAGCCATGCAGAGGCTATTTAGTTTGATGTAGTCTCATTTGTTTATTTTTCCTTATTCCCCTTGCCCTAGAAGATATATCAGCAGAAATATTGCTATGTGGGTTATCTAAAATTTTACTGCCTATGTGTTCCTCTAAGACTTTTATGTCATGACTTATATTTAAATCTTTTAACCATTTTGAGTTTATTCTGGTATAAGGCCATCATTAATAAACTAATAAACAATGAGTGCTGGTGAGGATCAGAGAAAAGGGAACCCTAGTGCACTGTTAGTGGAAATGAAGACTGGTACAAGTATTGTGGAAAACAGTATGGAATTTTCCTTAAAAAACTAAAAATGGAACTGCCCTTTGACCCAATGATTCCACTGCTGGGAATATACCCTAAGAAGTCTGAATTACCAATTCAAAAGAATTTATGTACCCCTATGTTCATAGTGGTGCTATTTATAATAGTTAAGTGCTGGAAACAACCTAAGTGACCATCAGTAAATGAGTGGATCAAAAAACTGTGGTACATTTACACAGTGGAATATTATGCAGCAGTAAGAAAGAAGGAACTCCTATCTTTTGCAACAGCATGGGTGGATCTGGAGAATATTATGCTCAGTGAAATAGGCCAGTTGGTGAAAGACAAATAAATACCATATGATCTTACCTGTAAGAGGAATCTAATGAACAAAATAAACTAACAAACAAAATAGGACCACAGGCATGGAAACATGGAACACACTGAAAGTCCCTGGGGGTATGGAGAGTGGGGAGGAGGATAATGGTGGAAAGAAGGGGAAAGGATCCAGGGGTGTCCAAACTTCTGGCATTTAGGTGTCACACTGGAAGAAGAAGAATTGTATTGGGGCATACATTAAATACACTGAGACACATAATCACAAAAATACTCATAATGTTTTAAGTAAATTTACAATTTGTGTTGGGCCACATTCATAGCCATGCTGGGCTGCATGTGGCCCATAGGCCACAGATTGGACACGTGATTGACAGAGAACATGTATGAATGACCCACAAACATGGACAACACTGTGGGAATTGACTGTGGGAACAGCAGGTAAGATGGGCAAAGGCAGGCAAAGGGGGACAAAATTGGGACAACTGTAATAGAATAACAACAAAAATGATTTTTTAAAAAAGAAGATCATTGTTGGTGATATTTAGGAACATACCTAGTACCTAATGGTGTCCACAAAACACATTCACTTGTTTTCTTTTTTGTCAACCTTAAATGCTGCATTTTAATAGCATTCCTAAGATAGTTAAAAAAGAATATTCTCCTCCAGGAACATGGATTGTACATACAACATAGATGGTAATATCTCTTAACTGGCCAAGAGTTACACTTACCAAATGCAATGGCGCTAGCCCCTAAAGAAGAAGAAGAAAAAGAAAAAAAGAATTACAAAAATTAAAAGCTTTTAAGTCATGGATTTGTAATCAATTTAACACATGTACAAACTGCACTTGAAAGTTCAAAAGTAACTCAGATTTTCATAACTAAAAAAAATTATAGGAGAGAGAAGATGGCAGTAAGGTAGGAGGGAGCAGATTCTACTTCCCCCTACACACAGGAGAAAAACCTAGTTGATCTGCTGAGGAACAGAGCAAACAGACAACAGTACCCTAGCATATATGAAAATAGGAGACCAAAAATTGTAGTGGACATTGAGAAACCAGATGGTAAGGAGAGTGCTTCAGGATGATAAGGTCCCAGGGACTGGCGCAGGGACCAGCGTGGCTGTGGCTGCAGCCCCAGGCCTGGGGACTGCTGGGTCTGCCACAGGGTCCTTGGGAGACAGCTGGGTGAACTGCTTCCTCCCCTGCCAAACAAGGTTTGATCAGCACCAGGAGTGACCTGGTTGCTTGAAGTCACAGAGAGGGGAATTAGGACTAAGTGGCAAAAGGGACTGCTTTAAGGAAAGAAAGAGAGAGAGAGAGAGAGAGAGAGGAACATATGTACATAAAAGGCAATGAATAAGTACCTATCAATAATAACCTTAAATGTAAATGGATTAAATGCTCCAATCAAAAGACATAGAATTGCTGAATGGATAAGAAAACATGACCCACACATATGTGGCCTACAAGAGACCCACCTCAGGATACAAGACCTATACAGGCTGAAACTGAAGGGCTGGAAACAAATTTTCCAAGCAAATGAAGAGGAAAAAAGGCCAGGGTAGCAATACTCATATCTGACAAAATAGACTTCCAAAAAAGGGCCATAAAGAGAGACCCAGAAAGTCATTTCATAATACTCAAGGGAAGAATCCACCAAGAAGACATAATTATTGTAAATATATATGCGCCCAACATAGGAGCACCCAAATACATAAAGAAAATATTAGAGAACTTCAAGAAAGATATTGACAGCAACTCAATTATTGTGGTGGATTTTAACACCCCATTATAAAAAATGTACAGATCTTCCAAACAAAATATCAACGAAGATATTGTGGCATTGAACAATACTCTAGATGAAATGGGCTTTACTGATATATACAGAGCCCTCCATCCCAAAGAAGCTAAATACACATTCTTTTCAAATGCACATGGAACATTTTCAAAGATAGACCACGTGATAGGACACAGAACAAGCCTCAAGAAATCCAAAAAAATTGAAGTCATACCAAGCATTTTCTCTGATCACAAGGGACTGAAACGAGAAACCAACCCCAAGCAAAACAAACAAACAAACAAACAAACAACAACAACAAAACTCAGACTCATGGAGATTGAATAGCATGCTATTAAACAATGAATGGGTCAAGAATGAAATTAGGAAAGATATCGAAAAGTTTCTGGAAACAAAAGAAAATGAACTCATAACAACGCAAAACTTATGGGACACAGCAAAGCAGTCCTGAGAAGGAAGTTTATAGTGATACAGGCCTACCTGAAAAAGACAGAAACATTTCAAACAAACAATCTAACCCTGTGCTCACAAGAACTCAAGGAACAACAAGGACACCCCAGAGCAAGTAGAAGAGAGGAAATAACCAAGATCAGAGCAGAATTAAATGACATAGAGACTAAAAGCACAGTTCTAAGGATCAATGAATCCAGGAGCTGGTTCTTTGAAAAGATAAAGAAAATTGACAAGCCTTTAAGCAGACTCATCAAGAAAAAAAGAGAGAGGACCCAAATAAACACAATCAGATATGAAAGAGGAGAGATTACAACTGATATCACAGAAATACAAAGGATTGTAAGAAATTACTATGAAGAACTGTACATCAAGAAATTTGAAACCCAGGTGAAAGGGACAGATTTCTAGAAAAATATAATCTTCCAAAACTCAATGAAGAAGAAGGAGAAAGCCTGAACAGACCAATAACAGCAAAGGAAATTGAAACAGTAATAAAAAAAAAACTCCCAACACACAAAAGCCCTGGACTGGTTTCACAGGAGAATTCTACAAAGAATTTAAGGAACTAACCCCTATCCTTCACAGACTATTCCAGAAAATCCAAAATGATGAAAGAGTCCCAAACTCTTTTTATGAAGCCAGCATCATCCTAATCCCAAAACCAGATAGAGACACAAAAAAGAAGGAAAACTTTACGCCAATATTGCTGATGAACAGAGGTGCTAAAATCCTCAACAAAATATTGGCAAACTGCATCCAGCAACACATTAAGAACATCATACACCATGACCAAGGGGGATTCATCCCAGGGATAGCAGGATGGTTCAATATTCACAAATCAGTAAATGTAATACATCACATAAGCAAAAGCAAAGACAAAAATCACATGATCATATCAATAGATGAGGTAAAAGCTTTTGATAAGGTACAGCACCCATTTATGATGAAAACATTTAGCAAAGTGGGAATACAAGGACCATTTCTCAACATAATAAAGGCCATATATGAGAGACCTACAGCCAACATCATGCTCAATGGACAAAAACTAAAAGCTTTCCCACTAAGATCAGGAACAAGACAAGAATGTCTGCTTTTACCACTTCTATTCAACATAGTATTGGAAGTCCTAGCCACAACACTCAGACAAGAAAAGGAAATAAAAGACATCAAAATCAGAAAGGAGAAAACAAAACTGTCATTGTTTGCAGATGAGATGATAGTGTACATTGAAAATCCTATAGACCTGGCCAAAAAGTTACTTGACCTAATAAGTAAATTTGGCAAAACAGCAGGATACAAAGTCAATATCCAGAAATCAAAGACTTTTTGTATAATGACAATGAACCCGCAGAAGCAAAAATCAAGAAAAAAATCCCATTTTGTATAGCAAAAAGAAAAATAAAATACGTAGGAATACACCTAACAAAGGAGGTAAAAGACCTGTATTCATAAAACTACACAACACTGAAGAAAGAAATCAAGGAAGACACCAACAAATGTAGACAAATACCATGTTCATAGATTGGAAGAATTAACATCATCAAAATGTCCATACTACCCAAAGCAATTTACACATTTAATGCAATACCTATTAAAATATCAATGGCATAATTCACAGACATAGAACAAACACTTCAAAAATTTATATGGAACCATAAACAACCCCAAATAGCTGCTGCAATTTGGAGAAAGAAGGGCAAAGTAGGAGAGATCACAATCCCTGATACTAAACTGTATTACAAGGCCAGTGTAACCAAAACAGCCTGGTACTGGGATAATAACAGGCATATGGACCAATGGAAGAGAACAGAGAGCCCAGAAATAAACCCAGATCTCTACAGTCAATTAATATTCAACAAAGGAGGCAGCAACATAAAATGGAGTAACAATATCCTCTTCAACAAATGGTGTTGGGAGAGCTGGACAGCTAGGTGCAAAAAAAAAATGAAAGTCGAGCACCACCTTACACCATACACAAAAATAAATTCAAGGTGGATAAAAGATTTAAATATAAGCTGTGACACCATTGAAGTCCTAGAGGAGAACATAAGCAGGGAAATCTCAAATATTTCACGCAGCAACATTTTCACTGATATGTCTCCTAGAGTAAGGGACATAAAGGAAAGAATAAACAAATGAGATCTCATCAAAACAAAAAGCTTCTACACAGCTAAAGAAAACAGTATTAAAATAAGAGAACCAAACGTATGGGAAAACATATTTGCCAGTGATACCTCAGACAAGGGTTTGATCTCCAAAATATACAAAGAACTTACATGACTCTACTCTAAGAAGAACTTTAACTGGGTCAGAAGACAAGCAACCCAATTAAAAATGGGCAAAAGACTTGAACAGACACTTCTCTAAGGCAGACACACAGAGGATCCAGAGACACATGAAAAGATGCTCAGTATCAGTAGCTATCAGAGAGATGCAAATTAAATCCACAATGAGATACCACTTCACACTGGTCAGAATGGCCATCATAAACAAAGCAACAAACAACAGGTGTTGGAGAGGTTGTGGAGAAAAAGGAACTGTTTGGTGGGATTGCAGACAGGTACAACCACTATGGAAAACAGTATGGAACTTCCTCAGAAAACTAAAAATGGATCTGCCTTTTGACCCAGCAATTCCACTGCTAGGATTATATCCTAAGAACCCTGAAACACCAATCCAAAAGAACCTATGCACCCCAATGTTCATAGCAGCACAATTTACAATAGCCAAGTGTTGGAAGCAACCTAGGTGCCCATCAGTAAATAAATGGATCAAATAACTGTCTCATTTACACAATGGAATTCTATGCAGGAGAAAGAAAGAAGGAGCTCCTACCCTTTGGGACAGCCGGGATGGAACTGGAAAGAATTATGCTAAGCAAAATAAGCCAGGCAATGAAAGACAAATACCATATGATCTCACCTTTAACAGGAACCTAAACAACAACACAGACAAACTAGCAAAATATAACCAAAGACACTGAAATAGAGAACAGGCTGACCAGAGGGTAGAGGGGAGGGAATTTCAGGGGAAAAGGGAAGGTTTTATAGGAATAAGTATAAAAGACAAATGGACAGAAACAAGGTGGAGTGGAAATTAGAGGGAGGCGGGGAGGGCTGGGTGTGTTGGCTAGGATGGGAGTAAAAGACAGAAAACTGTACTTGAACAATAATTAAATAAAAAATATATTTAAAAAATTATAAATAAGTTTATGAAAATTACATATTATGAGTAACCAAAGAACATACACACTAGTGCTTATATCTATTCAATGAGTTAACATTATAAACATAAAATATAATAGTTATTGAATACTAAAACAAACACTATGTAAATTTGTTTATATGACTTAATGGCAAGGAAGAAGTCTTTAAGCTTAAAAAGTAAGTAACTGCTGATCCAATTCTATGATCAAGAAACTATCAAAAATTGAAGTCTCTTTGAGCACTCTATCAAAACTTAAATTACCCATCACCTTATTATTTATATCCTTCAATGA